ATATTTGTGTGTGCGTCCTTGCTCATTAACTTTTATCAGCTGAAAGCTACAGGTCAATAGGCCAAATACACTAGTAGCACAGTCATTAGAGCTACCTGTTGTTGTAAGCCCCTCCCCCTGGCTGTTTAACTACTCTAGTGTGAAATATTATTTTGTTCTTAAATGGATCTTTGTAAATGGCAGAGGGCTTGAGCTGCTGTGTAGATCAGAGAAAAGTGGTAAGTAGTTGTAATCCAGCTATGTAGGCTAGGGCCTTCAAGGTATTTAAACAATGGGCTAAACTGTGGGAGATTATCAGCATCGGACAGAAGTTTAAATACTGTAAAATCTGCCTTATGCTATGGAAAATGTAAAGTAAACTCACTTAGTAGCATTTCAATTATGAAAGGGCTCCATTTAGTCAAAGATGAAAATTATGAATGTAAATGCAGTATAACATATCTATGTATCTATGAGGAGGGGCAGATGGTGCAAAATGAGTCGCTTCCATCAATCTGCCCCAGGGCAGCTGTGGGTACATTTATTATATCACTTAATATGGAGTGGATAAACAATGAAAACATGTTTTGAGTCTTTGGCAAACCTGTAAAGTGCATTACAAGTGTAATGTATTATTATAACTGGATTCAGATGATATTACAGAATTACTATTAGTCTGTTATACTGGAATATTAATATATTTTTTACTTTTTGAGTATCTAGTTCTTGTTAATAAACAAACCCATGTTAGAAAAACACAATACTCCAGCAAAAACAAAGCAAGTATTGTTTTCCCTAATCAATGTACAGTACTTCTGCCCATGTTTCCATCTACCAGCTAAAATGTACGCTGGGCAATGTTTTTATTAGTAGCACTTGGGGTCCATCAAATTCCATTGGTATTATTTTTCCAAAATTTGTTGAAATGTTGTTTATGTATGAAAGTATTTTATGAAATTTTTGAACTAGATTTGTATGTTTTTACCAGTTCTCTTCCACATTATGTCACCGGGGCGGCTGAAGGTCATCTATCATCTACTTAAAGAGAGCCTTTCCCCAAACAGCCAAAGATAAATATGTATTATCAGGAGGGCTTAAGTGTCACTGGGAGTGTGTTTGGAAGTGCCTAACTCTTACCATGTGCTGTGGTCTACTGGGGATTCTAATGGAGCTCTAGGTTTCCTTAACGTTGTTGTGGCTCTCACTGACACTGCACTGTGATGTACAGTCAAGTTGCTGAGAGCCTCGCAAAACAAATGCTCCCTAATCACTCACCTGCCCCCAGATATGTGCCGCCCCATTTCTCTGCTATGTGACCTATATTTAAGGCTCAGCTACAGGGTCACCACCTCAAACTGTAGAATAAGAGGGGTACATCGCTGAATGTGATGGAGCAGGGGTGTCAAACTCAAATTCACAGAGGGGCAAAATTAAAAACAGGTACTAAGTCATGGGCCAAATTAAATACTTATTGAAAAATTTCAAAAATATCGACATGTTTTCTCTTCTTTGAAGATATGTAATGTTAAAACTTTTCTTATTAAAATAGATGTTTAATAATAGTTATGCTTAAACATCAAATCAAGAACAAGCATAATATAAAATGATAACAAAATTTTAAATAAAAAATGTCTCTATACAGCCCTAATACATATTTAATATGATCTTGCGGCCAAATATAATTATATCAAAATTTAACCAAATTTTGCCCCCAGGCCTGAGTTTGACATGTCTGTGATGGGACATGGATGGACTGACTCAGTAAAGAAAAATAATAATAATAATAAAAAAATATAAATCTAAAAATAATCTAAGAAAAAATAATAACTGCAATAACACAAACATATTTTAGATTTTATTGGGGTTGGGACAAGACACAAAGATAATTTAGAGATCATTTATAATAAACAATCTATGTAGTGCAATTATTAGTTTTGGTCTCACCATTTTGATCTTTTTTCATTATTATTAATTTTTAAATTGCCAAAAAAAGAAAAGAAAAGACTAATATAAAGGCATGCTTTTCATTATGTGTGTTATATAGCACTGAAAAAAAGAAAAACACCCTTACTCTTATTGGGCTTGCATCTCCACAAGCCTGACTCTTATTTGGTCTGGGCTTTCACCTGCTTGTTTTCTTTGACTTATAATATTTCCATCCACCATTTGGGATAAAATGTGTCTCTATGGAGAATGTTCCAAATGTTCCATGAAATCAGGCAGTTGAAGTTACATACTGTCACTTTAACGTAATATTTTTAGAAAAATTTTTGAATGACGGCTTCTCATGATGTTTAACTCCGTAGCACTTGACCCTTTTATTGTCTGAAGCAAACAGGAGAAAAACATCAGATAATCAAGATAATTTTCCACCTGTTGACAATATTATAGTCATTTTATCTTGCAAGATCTTGTAATTCTGCCCCTTCTAACACATAGAGAGCGACTGGAATATGTAGCTGCTAACCCTGAGAACCACCAGTACATCCAAAGAGTTTATTTATTTGTGAGAAAGAAAAAACGTATTTAAATTTCACTTTTCAATTCATGTGGAATCAAGCACTGCATTCTCTAAACAAGTGAGACAAGGGCTGTGCAGAACTATCAAAAAAGGTCTCAGTGCTTTGCCAGTTTTCTGTCAAACTACTCTTTTGTATTGTATTGTATTGTGTAATTTTTCTGGTAGGGGGTCTGTGAAATGCTTTTCTCCATGGAGATGTTATTACTTTGTCTGTAATGCTTCACAGTCTGGCATTAAATTTTCTATCTTCATGGAGAACAAACTAGACCAAGTTACAGATCAAAATCTATGGAGAGGCAACCCACTCACAGTCAGAAGTATTTTTGAGCAGTAAAACCACCTGTTATTGAATAAATGTAAGATAGAGCTGTTTAATACTGTGGACCATTTCAGGCAGAGTAATGTCATCTCCAATAGAAACAAGCAGACGTTAGACTCCCCACCAGAAAAGTTACACAATGCACCTTTAATGCAGAAAGTTTGTTGTAAAGTTTGGAAATCAACAAAATAAATAATAAAGCAGTGGTAATTTTGGAGATAAGCAAAAATAACAATACAAAGTCAAAAAGAGCTGATTAAAACTAAATTGCAGTGTAATTTTCAAAAATATAGGTTTAAAGTCATATTGCTGGATGTTTTTCTTTTCAATTGTACGGTCCAATCATTTTATGTGAAATACTTGAACCTCAACCAAGACACTTCCAGGCACTCTGCCATAATATTGTCATCAGGATTAATTTTTTTTTTTCTTGCACACCCATAATTTGTACATTATGGATGACTCTTATTTGTATTCCTTAATGTCTTATACTGGCAGTGTATATTTGTAAGCTTGTAATTTACGTTTTAGTTTGCCATTTAGACTATTTTTCTTTTGTAAAAACTTACAAGCAATCTGTCATGCTGCACTCACATTCACAATAAATGAAACGGAGTTCACTGATTACAAATAATGAACCCTGCTAATGTTAAGTTAAGGGAACATACTTAACTTGTGTGTTTTTTCAAATGTCCACAACAATTGGAAGATTTATAGCATTGCATTAAAACAGACTGCTTTTATTTATTTAGAAAATGTAAAATTACTTTCTTAGTTCATAACTCTAATTCTAAAACTAATATTTGATGTTTTTTCAGCTTTTGGTCTCACGTTTTTATTTATAGAGCAATTTCTCAACTCTTAATCGGATGGAGGTTGTGTAATCCCACCTCTTTGTGATTTTAACAGAGTAGAATAAAATGATCAGTGGGACATAAATGGGTTACACATGTGGTTTTAAGGCCCTTGTCTGTTATAAGTCAAAAGCATCGGGAAAAAAAAGTAGTATCGTAAGTGTAAATACTGAAAAAGTCACATTCACTGGACAAGAAGTGAACCTCTCCTGAATCGGTTTAGAATGAAAATTAGTAAAGAGCACATAGACTAGTATACACCCATGGACCACTTTGGAACCTACCTGGACGACCGTGGGATTATCTTACATATAGATATAAGACCACATGATAATATAAAAGAAAGTACTACAATTTGAAGTGCATTTTGTAACTTTTCTGGTGGAGGGTCGGTCCCCTGCTTGTTTCTACGGATATGTCATTGCTGTGCCTGGACATTAAACAGCTCTGCTTTACATTTATTCAATTACAGGTGTTTTTATAGCTCAAAAATACCTAGAAAAACAGATATTCTTACTATGATCAGGATTGCCTCTCCACAGATCTGACCTGTACCTTGGTCTCGTTTGATCTCCATGAAGCTTTAACACCATACTGTGAAACATTCCAGATAAAGTAGAGAAAAGCATTTGAAGGACCCTCCACTCTCCAAAATTTACACAGTGCTTCTTTAGTGTTGAAAATGCTTCTGTTGTCTAAATAAAGAGTGCTTTTACAAGGAGTGTAACGATATCCAAGTCTCACGATACGATATTGTCACGGTATGAACCTCACGATACGATATTTATTGCGATATCGTGGGAAAGCTCATGATATGTTGGGGAGGCTCACGATTAGGGATGTAACAATATCCAAATCTCTCGTTATGATATTTTTACAATATACATCTCACGGTACGATATTTATTGTGATATTTTGTGGAGGCTAATATGCTACTTTTTCCTCTTAAAATGCCTTGACAAGAATTAATCCAAAGAACTAAGACTTAAATGTGCTTTGAAGTGTTATTTCTTTGTGTAGTCTGCACTGAAATGGAGCAAAGGATCATGGTCTGTGTAGTCGCCTCTGTCTTTTATCAGCTATTGCTACACCGTAACTCTTAATTTAAGCAAAGAGACTTGTAAATCGATATATTGTGATGGTCCACGATATTATTGTGACAACTTTGACGATACGATATTTTGGTTATTGTTACATCCCTAGTTTTTACTATCATTGTGGTATCAGAATTGGTACTGAATATCAAGTCTATTCCTCTGTATTGAAATCGAGGTTGAAATGTTAATATCGTGACAACTCTAGTCTGATATGTGTCCCTTTTTTCCAGGACTTGGACAGTCTCCAAACCCAGCTGGAGGAGGTGCGGTTCTTTGACCTCTTTGGCTTCAGTGAAGAGCACCGGGGCTGGCTGTGCTTCATGTGTAACAACCCGGAAAAAGCCACGGGTACATGCCACTACCAACACCAACACTGCACACTCACACTCACTATACGGATTATTTTTATACACTTTCCTGCCAACTGTCTCCCCTAAGAATCATTTAAACCCGAGTGGTGGGCTTGTATAGAGCAGTGTTTTCCTGTATTTCAACCAGGACTGACTTAAACAAACTTATGTCTATAGTAAAAGCTATAAAGGAAGATTGATGGATTTGTGAATAGAAGTGGCTGTAAAGGGACAGTCCGAAATTTTGCACATAGGACCTCACCTCCTAGTGAGCCAGAGTGTTGGAGACGTGTGGAGACACTTTTTTAAATATTCCATCCATTCCTTGTATTTGCAGAGGTCGCTGGTGCTAGACTAGTGCATGTCAATGGCCATAGTTATTCTGCCAGACTGTTGATGTAAATGTCTGTGTTGATAGAATAATGTTTGAAATAAAACTAATCTTGCATCGCATGAATCGTTGCATGCTGAGGGACTATTTTCTCAACAGCAGCGGAATTTTACTTTGCCAGTAGGATAGGTGCTAGGTGTTATCAGTCCGCTGCTGCCAAGCTTTCTATCAGAAAGTACAACTTGCTGCTGCTGCTCAGACATAAATCCTTCAAATGCAAGGTTAGTTTTATTTCAAAGATTATTCTATCAACACAGACATTTACATCGACAGTCTGGCGTAATAATCATTTTGCTTTGGGTGCTTTGTGGAGTGGGTAAGACTGTTTTTAGTGGCAGGCTAACTATGGCCATTGACATGCGCTAGCCTAGCACCAGCGACCTCTGCAAATACAAGGACTGGATGGAATATTTTAAAAAAGTGTCTCCACATGTCTCCAATACTCTGGCTCACTAGGAAATGAGGTCCTTTGTCCAAAATTCCAAACTGTCCCTTTAAGAGGACGTTGATCTCTCTGTAGGCTTGTCAGAAGCATTGAAGTTCAGATGCAAAAACTAGTATATAAAACTACTGATTATCTTTGAAATGATGTTGAGCTGTATCAGAACAAGTCTACCATATGGAACATACCTGAATGACTGAGGGATTACACTGATATAAGACTGCATGGTTATATAAAGGAAAGTACTATGATTTAATGTTGAAAACCATATTCTGTTGTATCTGAATCAGTATTGAGTGTCAAGTCTGTTCGTAATTGGGTTTGAAATGGGTTTGGCTCTGGTGCTGCTACAGTGGAGAAGGTGTTGTGACTGAGCGAGCAGGAGGGAGTTCATTTATAGAAAATATCTTGAGTTGCTGATAGGCAAAGGCGGTAGCTTTGTTTGACTGATGGTTAGGGCTGCACGATTCTGGGAAATAATCACAATTGCAATTTTTCAGGCAGTCCAGGCAAACTGTTTCAAAAGTTGGATTCTATTCAGACTGTACATTGTAAATATAAAAGAGTAACATTTGAGAAAAGACTGGAATATGACACACTGATCCCCTAATACAAGAATCACATCCATTTTAGAACAGGTTTCTAGAGGTCTAAACTTTATAAAGAAAACAGGATATTTTGAACTTTGCAGAAATCATTCTATTACCTAAATAACTGCAGCTTTTGGGATTTGATATTTGCGTCAATTCAAATTCCGATTTTGGTTTGATTGTGATTAACTGTGCAGTTACACTAATCGTGACAGACAGATGACATGGTAAGTACGTAGTCTTCCTGGTTGGATTCATGCTTCAACGTCCGTTCCATTGACTTGTTTTTGAAGAACACACGTTGTTAAATCCATTGTCCACACCTCCACACGGGTCTGCACAGATGCTCAGATGTGTGAGTGAAAGCTTATCTTATCTCTGTCATGTGCTGCTCGCGGGGGGTAGGGACCATTGGCTGATGGTGCGGATGTTTTTACTCTTAAATGCCTCTGAGGGAGATGAGGTTTGTCAGCTCCTCTTTAAAGCCTCTTATGTGTGTGATGATCTGGATGTTAGTGCGATGAGGACTGCCACAGGACTCAGCTTGGAGCAGTTTACTTTGGACCTGAACAGCTCATGAGGTCACTGATAAAGACACTTGCCCAAAACCATTATACTTTTGAAGTGTTTTCTTTTAGTTGTGGGAGTTTGTTTGATAGTTGAGATCTCTTATGACGAAGGATATTAGGTCCTTTTGATAACAAACCTGGGGATGGAAAGTAAGAACTCTGGCCACACAGCTGAGACTATTTAAAGGGCCCATATTATGTTATTTTCTGATGTACATTACCGGTCAAAAGTTTAGAACACCCTAATTTTTCCAGTTATTTATTGCAGTTCAGGTCATGCAAGTCCAGTGAACAGCTTGAAATAGTAGAAAGGTAAGTACTGAACAGCCAGAGGTTAAAAACAGATAAAAGATAACAAAACACAAGTCCAAGCTCGGCCAAAACTACCTAAGGGAAAAAATAACAAGATGGTACATTTGAAAACATGGAGTGGCCAGCACAGTCTCCAGACTTGAACCCCATCAAGCTGGTTTTGGGATGAACTGGACAGAAGAGTGAAAGCCAAGCAACCTACAAGTGCCACACATTTATGAAAACTTCTGCAACAGACTTGGGAAGAACTTCCTGAAGAATATTTGATTTCTATTGTAAAAAGAATGAGCCACGAGTGTGTTTAGCTGTTATATCTGCCAAAGGTGGACACTTTCATTAATCAAAAGTTTCAAATACATTTTGGTCAACAGTAAACAGTAAAAAACTGGAAAAATTGTGGTGTTCAAAAACTTTTGACCGGTAATGTTTGTTATAATGTTGTTTCCACACCACAAACAGACCTGGAGTTGTGTTTTTTTGTTTCATTCACACATGTTTAACACAAACCCTGCATATTTAGTCTGAGTTCTTCTGTCAAACTGAAAACACTCTGTTCACTCACGTGAACGTAATACATAAAGTGCTCCACTGTGTTTTTAAACTCCATACACCTTCACTAGAATCATTTGGATGATTGATGAACTAACAGTAAAAGGCATCTATTAACTTAAAAACTACCACGGCATGATATCACAAGGTAGAACAGAGCATTTTGAGCTTGGGAGATGTAGACAGACCAATAATAAAGGATACTTTTTCCATGCCTACCTTATAGTCAACTAATCGATCGGCAGTACATGTCTTTAATTGACCAAGAATGTCTTTAGTTGTTGACAGCCCTAATGGGATGTCTCAGTATTACAAGAACATAGCTTATACTATAGCTGATATTGGGAGAGTGGAGTGACATATCCCAATTTGTCCAAAAAGTCTGAAAAGGCCAATATTACACTATTTTCTAATCTGCTATAAGTTGGAGTTGTGTTTTGTTTCATTCACACATGTTTAACACACAAACCCTGCATATTTAGGCTGAGATCTTGTCTCAAACTGAAAACACTCTAAAACCTTGTGATGCCATGTGGTAATACAGGAAGTGCTCCTCTGAGATTTAAACCCCATGCACCCAAATCTGTACTAAACACGAGGTAAAAAGTAGTTGTAGAAAATTGCCACTTCATGACATCACAAGGAACATTGTATTTTGAGCTTTAAAGATGGAGACAGCCTAATAACTCAGGATTATTCAGACATGTGTGAATGAAACAAAACACAACTCCATGTATGTTTTTGATGAGGCAGCAGCTTTATATCATGGTTTAACACTCCCAGGAGTCAATTTTGTGTAATATAGAACCTTTAAATATACATGAGTCATTTTTGGGGCTGTATTTTCACTTACAGTCTAGCAGAGTAGTCGGATATTCAGAGGTTGAGTTGCACAATATTATCCCCAAAGCCCTTGAGAAAGCAGGTATAAACGTGAGCCCTCACATAGAGACAGCAATGCAGTCAGTTCACACAGCACGCCGAGGGTACTTTTCCCCTTTTTCACTTTGATTTATTGCTTCTCATATGTTTCTCCACCTTTGACGACAGGCCTTATAAATACACATGTGAGTGATGGGACGGGGCGCTGTTATCAGTTATACAAGAGCGAGTGGGCCGCCGTGTGATAAATGAAAAGCGAAGAGCCCGCAGAGCAAAGTCTTTCATAATGAGCACGTTTCAAACCCCTGCGCCCTTCGGAGACATGCTGCATAATGGCACTTAATGAGAGCCCAGCACGAGGAGAGGCAGGACCAGAGTATGGACATCTGATGTTGTGAAACTCGAGATTTATTTGTGCTTTTAAATCGCCTAATTGGTGCGCAGAGGATTTAGACTGGTTTATGGATAAAAGTTCGTCCGCTAAAGGGCAGATGTTTTAGTCACAGCATCATTCTTACATTTAAAGGGCCCATATTATTACACTATTCTCTGATCAGTGTTATAATGTTGTTTCCTCATCAGAAAATTCAACGAGTTTGGTTTTGATTCATTCACACATGTTTACCACACAAATCCTCCATATTTAGGATCTGTTTTTTCTCAAACAATACAAGAAAAGCTCCACTGTGTTTTTAAAATCCATAGACCATCACTAGAATCATTTAGATGGTTTCAGCCCTGGAATTTCCGATCTCTATTAAACAAAACATAAAAGGCAGCTGTTAACTTGAACAGACCATATTGATTTTTGGAGATCTTGACAGACTAATAATCCAGGATTACTCAAACACGTGTGAATGAAACAAAACACAACTCCAGGTATGTTGATGAGAAAACAAGATTCTCACATAACTAAAAGCTTACAAGAGTCAATTTTGCGTAATATAATACGTTTGACAGGTCAAACCACACACTTTATTAAAATACAGTTAACATAATTATACTTGTAGGTTAATTTTACTTAGTTAATCTTAGTTTTACAGTTTTGATCAAGTTTTTGATTTTACATCCTGTTTGGAAATGGATATACGATGTAACATAAGTATTTCCATAACTGTCACCTGAGAAGCATAGTAATAAACAAGGGTGAAAGTTCAGCTAATTTATACAATAGTTATTATCTTGGTTTTCTCTGTTTTCATATATGAGTGTTTAAAGCCACAGTCTGTTACATTTTACCCCAAAAAGCAGCTTTTATAGATT